GATGATGAGGAGGATTGGTAGTAGGAGTCTCAAGGAGGGGCAGGGCGAGCAGGATGAGGAGGAGGAGGACAATCCTGAGGGGGGCGGCCATGAATTCGAGAGCCTTGAGTGCCCTGAGCCCCCCGCATTACCATCGCACACATGTTTGACTCCAAAACTTTGCGAACGCTTTCGTTGCCGAGGATGTCGCGTGCTCTGCGCCCGCTCTGGCTCCGTGTCATGTTGATCCACATACTGCATTCATTCTCAAACATCGCTGTAACACCAGGGCGCAACTGAAGAACGGAATACCCTGCCCATATTACACCCTCCAATGTACAGGCGTCCTCGGAAAAGTGGCCTCTTCTTTGCGCGACAATTCGGCAGAGCTCAACTCAATTGACCCACCAGGGCGACCGAGCTCGCCCTGGCGGTGGACGAGCTCGCCCTGGTGGTGATATCGAGTTGGAGTCTGCCGAATTGTCGCGTAAGTCCTGTCGAATTTTCTACTGGCGCCTCCTGCGTTTTGCACGAGGTCGCTCGTCTCCCCCTTCCCGCAGAACATCTCGAATAGGTCGAGCGTGCGCGGGGGGTTCTCGCTCATCAGCCTCCCCACCTCCTCCTGGGCTATCTGCAGGATGGTCATCATATTCGATCGGCCCAGCCACCTCTGCTTCCATGATGGCGCCAGCTCCTTCGCTCTCCTCTTCACCCACGCGGGCGCCCCCCGCGGCTGGTCCGCCATCGCCGAGATGCGGTAGAGCAGCACTTGGTGAAAAAATATGAATATTGCCCCCGACTTGACCCAAAATGTCAAAGCAATAGAACACAGATACCTCCATTGTTAATTTGTGTGACGCTTGGGCACATAATCTCAGAGCTAAGTTCAAATGCTCATCTGTGAAAGTCGCCGTCTCTTTCGGGTTGCCAAGATCCCAGGTCCTCGACCAAGGGCAAATGGGGCCAGAGGAGCGGCAGTAGGGCTCTGCGGAACTTATCCCCCCTGACAACAGAACACCGACATGTCTCTTGACGTCCCAACCTCCTGACCCTCGCCTCCCTCATCATCGCGCCTTCTCCTCATCCTCACCCTCCTCCTCCTCATCCCCCGAATCCTCCTCTTATCTATCCGCCCTCCCTTCTCTGCCCTCCCCGTTCGTATTCCCGTGGGTCCTTATGGTTAAATGTCCAAAACTATGGTGTTTGGGTAGTTGATGAATGCCCGCCTCGATACCTTCGAAAATATGCACCCTGCACGTGTCCAACAGTTTCTGATACTGCTCTACAGTCAAACGGGCGCGCGCCTCACGGCACGTTTTACACCAACTCTCCAAAGCCTCAGCCGACCGAAGAAGGTTGCCCGCCAGCGGTATTTTTGGTGAGTGTTTCTTGACCATATATATTGCAAAATTCAACAATACATGACACTCTGCTGCCTTTACCTTCATCATTCCTCCACTGTGTGGGGCGGGTCCGTCAGGTGGGAGCATTTTCTCTGTGATGGCCCCCAACCGCATATCTGGTGGAATGTCCGCGTAATCGTACCAACTCTCTAGGTCGTGCACTAGTCGCTTGAGTTTGTTATCCTCGGGGGCTTGCCAGGGGTTGGCGCGAAGGAGGCGCATCAATATCGCTGCCACTAGGGCCATCATCGTACCCATGTAGACGGTGCGCAACGAATCGATCGCCAGAGATCTGACAGGATTGGTGCCGAGAGCCCGAGAGAATACCGGCGATCTATGTATAACCCAATCTTTATTTACTTTGCCAGTTATGTCATAGTGCGTCCTCCAAAACACAACCTCAAATGGTAGATCATATTTCTCGAACAGGTTAGGGTTCACCATCGACGAGCTGGGGTCCAACCGGTCATGACGATCGAGTCCGAGCCCAGGGAATTCCGAAATCGGTCCAGTCAGCACGCGGCCCTTTGTCGAATGCCCGTTGATATCATACGTCAACCTTCGTAAGATTGCGGATCGGATGGCCTCTGAGTCGATCGTCACGTGGATCTCGCAAGATTTGCATGCCTCCTCGTATGCCTCCTCGTCCCGATCTCGATATAGCATCCCATCGCTAGTGATAAAGCCAGGGCCTGTTATGTGCATGCATGCTTTGGGGCAGTCACAAATGGGGCATGGGTTGTAGTTTTTCGCCAAGGATGATAGGCCAAAGCTTTTCTGGTACTCTGCCCAGTCGCCCTTCAAATACAAAACCATGCACCTGAACCCCCCAAGAGACTGTCCTGGCACATTCAGATCGTCAAGTGGGTCCCATGGATTGTCGTCGCGACGCCTGGGCGGCACCGCCCCGTTCACGAGAGCTTCTAACATCCACGCGGCCACAAGGAACATCGCGTGCACGCTGCAATGGCCGCCACAGCCACACTGACAATATTCTGACGTGCGCAGAAAACCTAGAAGGTGCCGCTTTTTCGAGATAAGATTGATCACGCCCACACCAAGCAATGAATCCGCTCCCTTGGGCTGTACACCAAGACAAACGCGGCGTGCGCAGTCATCCCTGTCTCGTGAGCCTTTGGGTGGGTTGGTGTGAATCCAAGTGTGCGTGTACATCTGAGTGCGTATGTGTGTGTATGTGTGTGCGAACGTAAAACAAGGGCTCTGCGTCTCCAGGGCTTCGTGTTTCATTCCCCAGTACTCTTAAAATTCCACGTGTCGTCCCCAGATGTTCGGCCCACCATTCCTTTGGGTGGCGGGTGGGGCGTCAGCCGTGCAGATCTACGCGGCCTGCCGACACAGGCGTGTAACGGATGCCATCCGTGTAGAGGCCGAGAGGGAGAGGATACGAACCAGTCTCATCTAGCGAACGCTGAACAAGACGATTCGACTTGTATGCGGGTAGGGACATGACACTGTCATCATTGTCACCGTCGCCATGCTTTAGCATTTCCATCATGTTTGGTGATGACAAAACCTCTTTGGCAACAGAATGGTATACGTTTTTGAATATCACGTCTCTGGATTTCGTTGAGGGGTCACGTTTTGAATATATCGGGATCTGGGCTCTGTAGTAGGGCCCACCTTTCGGGAATTGTCTCTTCAGGTGTTTTGAATACCGCCCTGTCTGCAATCCAGGCCGCAAAGCTATCCTCCGAAATCGCTCACCAGGTATCCCGCTCATCACCGCATAGTGCGCTAAAATGCACAGGTCTTTTGAAGACAGTCGTTTGCACCCGCCATAGATCGCAAGAAGCGTATCGAATAGTTTTGTAGAGGCTGATCTAGCTTGGGGGGTCCAGCTTCTATTGAAACGTATGTGCTTAGGCATGTTAGCCTTGGGCCGCAGTACCTATCGACGGATGAGTAAGCAGAGACCGAGGGAGCGAGAGAGCAAGGCTGGCGGCAACGCACGGGGGGGCTTTCCTCCACCCTTGCACGCGAGCCCGCACTCGGAGGCAAACAACTGCAATCGCGCGCACACCGTCTCTCCATAACATTGCCCATCACTCACCTCCAGCGGGCGAGCTCTGTAGTCTAGAGCAGTTACGCATAGTTGTGTGTATGCGTGTGTGTATGCGTGTGTGTCTGTGTGTGTGTGTGTGTGCGCGTGTGTTTGCGCGTGTGTTTGCGCGTGTGTGCACGCGTGCTCTCACGCCCACTCTTCATCCGCCCCGCCTCCCGACACATCGCCCCCATTAGCAGATTCGAGGCGCCCCTCAAGACGCAAATCACAAACACGCGCACTATCACAAGATGCCACTGGCGCCTTCCTCAGCGAATGATGTGCGATGCGCACGCGGAGAGCAGCGCCGCGAACAACCCGCCCCGTTCCCGAGAGGCGGTGTGCAGCTAAGCAGCGCGAGCACGACGAGGGGGCATCCAAAAAAAACACAGCTGGCCCCCGTCGTCACATGCCCTAACACCGTTGGTGCTCGCCCTGGACAGGGCATGCGTCGCGCCAGCTGGGGCGCGCCCCCCTCGCTCGTGCGCGCAGTATGCGTTCTACTCGCGGTAGCTTCGTCGACCTCTCCAACCCCCTCCATCCCTCCATCCCTATCGCCCTGTCCAGCTCTCTATCTCGCCCTCTCTATTTACATCTATAGTTGGATCCGTTTATCGCTATCTCTATATATATATATATATATCTCTCTCTTTGTTTTGTTTCTCTCTCTCTCTCTCTCACTCTGCCTCTCTCTCTCTCTCTCTCTCTCTCTCTCTCTCTCTCTCTCCTCTCGCCCCCCTATATATTCATCCCAGTCTCCTGATTAGCCTACTTTGGTCGGCTATCATCCTGGCCTCCCCGCTATCTCCGCCGTTGTCGTGTCTTCCCCCGAGCGACATCCCCCTATCCATGTTACCCTATCCTGCACTCCAGTCAGGTCTAAAGCCGCCATACACTGTCCCCGACTCTCGGGAAGCTGGCGCCCCGCTTGCAACATCGAAAGGCACAGCGAGCACTACAGCGCGCTTCCACACCTCGCCCACCGAACGGGCCTGTCCATCATCAGACAGTGTCTCGGAATTACAAAAAACAGTTGGTTTGTCACAGAATTCTCAGAAATTTCTCGATTTGCAGTAATTGTTCAGCAAAATCGACTGCACCACGCTCGAAAAACTTTCAGACACTTTCAGACTACTTTCAGACGGTTTTCAGACTACTTTCAGACATGCCACCAAACCATGTGTTTTTACAGCTATCCTGAAAGTTCAGACGGGTTTCAGACGGTTTTCAGACTACTTTCAGACATCGGTCCGACCCCTGGGTCCGACACGGAAATCCGTGAAAAAAATCGTGCCGCCACCCGTTCTCACCCCATCCGTTGCCGTCGTCAGCCACACACCACCGTTTGGACAGTTCCGAGAGGGTGGAGCTATCAGACGAACAGGTTTGCGCGCTCCGCACGTCGTGCGAGCGCGCGCGTGCAGGTGCATGCTAGGAAACGATGCTGAAAGCGTGCTGACCGTACCCACTCAGACTTTATATGTAAAACACGTCCCAAAAAAACACATAATCCCAGCTCGCACCTGCACGCCATCACTGTCAATGGTCGCCGCTACTCAATCGGCCATGCGCGCCTGGTGCTGCCTGAGCATCTTCTTGTTCTCCGTGGCCAGGCCCTCCACCAACCTGGTCATCGTCTTGTTCGCGTGCTTCAGAGTGTCCTCGAACTCCTCATCGGAGAGACAGTACTTTTTGAACTCGTTCACTTCGACAGAGAAGAGCTGAGCCATCCTCGCGTCGCCCGTGATCACCGCGGTCACCTGGCCACTGGCAAAGAGAGGGAGGACATGATGAAGAGGGGGAGGAGGATGAAGAAGAGCAGGGTGGTGCAATCCTCATCATATTCATCCTTCTCATCCTCCTCATTCGCCACCTTATCACCTGAGTGCCTACCCGCTCCCGCAGTCCACCGCCGTCGGCATTCCTTCATCCTCCACGGGGCATCCCCTCATCCTCCTCCTCATCCTCCTCATCCTCATCCTCCTCCTCCTTCTCTCCCTCCTCCTCCTCCTTGGGGTGCTCCAAGCTGGCCTTGTCGAGAGCGTCGGTCATCGCATTGGACAGGAGCTGGTCATGTCCATTACGATCCTTGCTGGTCGCAGACGCCCATGACCAGTCAGGGTCGCTCACCATGCACTGCTGGATGGTGCGCGTCTGCCCAACCACTGTGTTGTACATGTTCTTCATCTTGGGGGTCGGGGGCTGGGGGGGTCGTAATATCGGCGTGGTTTGTCGTGCCCATCCCTGACCCCATAGTCCTCCCACTCCTACACGTATTCGGTGCCCCGCCATCCTCATTCCGCCAAGTCCCGCCATTCGTGTGTTCCTCCCCTTCAGCCTCCATCATCCCTCATCCCCATCATCCTCATCCCCATCATCCATATCGCCCAGCTCCTCCCTCCTCCCTCCTCCCTCCTATCACCTCCATCATTATCATCCTCGTCCTCTTCCTCCTCCTCTGCATCCTCAAAGTTTGAGGCTCAAGCCATTGGTGTTTAGTCCAAGTGCTGACCTTACGGAACTCCGTGAGGAAGGTCCCCTTCTTCTCGGGGGGGTCGCCGCCAATGTCGCCAGGGTTGCCTCCGTCGCCACCACCACCGCCGCTGGTTGCCTTCTGCTTGGCCTTGGCCTTTGATTTGCCTTTGGCCTTTGCCTTGGCGGCACTCTCGACAGGATGATCCGTGCCCTTGCGGTTGCCCTTGTCCTTGTCCTTGTCGTTGCCCGTGAGCTTGCCCGCCTCGACGTGTTCTTGCCCTTGCACGTGTCCTTGTCCTTGTCCTTGTCCGTGCTCAGGCGATGGATCTGCCGATTTCGTCCATATCTCCCACTTCTCCATCGTCTTCTTGTAGGTGTCCGTGAGCTTGTGGACCACGTGCAGGTAGTTGAGATGCTTGGCCCTCGGGCAGTATTCGACGTGCTCGCCGCCCAGCAATATGCAACTCTGGCACCAGTTGATTGCCGCGCGGAGGCCTGTCAACCCACCGCCATACTCCACTGCGATCCTGGCCAGCGGGATGTACTGGCCGTCCTTGCTCTCCGCCTTCTCGTTGATCTCGCCCCTCTTGTACTTCGTTTCTGCCGCCCATAGTGTGAACTGACCCTCCATCCAGTCTCTCCTAAACTTGGCCTTTGCAGGCCACCCCTTCGCCTCCTTGTAGTCGTCGGCGAGCTTCTGGTCGGCCTGCTTCGCCCTCCTCCACTTCGCTGCCGCTGGATTCGAAATGGACTCGTCCAGGTCGAAGTAGAAGTCCTTGCCTTGCATGGTCTCCCAGAACTCCGTGAACTCGTCGTCCATCGTCTTGTCCGTCTGGCCCGTCCTCCTGCGCTCCTCCTCCGCCCATAGAGGGTCTTTCGCCCGCAGCTCCTGGATCCTCTTCAGCGCGTCGGAGTTGAAAATTTTGACGAGGCGCTGGGCAGCAAACTCCATCGTCATTTCGTCGGCATTGTGACCTGACGCGATGTCCCTGGTGATGAGGTCCGCCTCATTCTCGATCTCGGCCAGGAGTTCCTGCTTTGTCTTCGGCGGCGGCGCGGCTGTCAGCTCTCCTTTGCCAGCGCTGCCGTCGACGTCCCTGCCACCCTTCGAGCCTAGTTGGGGTGTGATGTCCAGCGGGTGAGGGCTGCGGCTCCTGCTGCGATCGAGCTCCCTGCGCACCACCCGTGTGACATCGTCGGTCTCGGGGGCGCTGCCACCTGCTGCGTCGACGGCTCCGTCCTGGCGGCGGGCACGAGAGGATGAGAATCGGGGAGGGTGGGCATGGAGGACGACGAGGACGATAAGGGTAGGAATTCGGGATGAACAAGATGATTAGGAGGACGAGTTGGCGGATGGCGCGAGTTGCCCCGTCGGTCCTGTAGGCGACCAGGCTCTGCAGCAGGGCCGCCAGACCTCGGGCCAAACGGAGCCGCCTCGACCAGCTTCTGGCTCGCCTCAATCACCTTCTGCGTTGCGGTGAGGTTCGCCTGCGCCGCCTGTATCCTCTCTTCCGCCAGCTTCCTCCTCTTTGCAGCGTTGTGCTGCGCCTCCTCTTTCTTCCGCTTCATGTCCTCCATGCGTTTCACCACCTCCTCACGCTTCTTCTGGAGCTGCTCGTTCCTCTCGCGCTCCAGCTTTCCCTGCTCGTCCTTCAGGTGCTGCTGCCTGGCCAGCTCCGCCTGCTCCTGCATGCGGACGTCAAGGTCGCCGCCACCCTCCACCCCGAGGGCCGCCTCAGCAGTCGCGATGCTCGCGTCCATGCGCGCCTGACGCTCCTGCATCCACTCCTTATGCCGATCCTGCAGCCAGCGGCTGTTCTCCTCCTCAATCCTCTTGGCCGCCGCCGCCTTCCTGCCTTGCTCCTCCTCCAGGCGCAGGGCGGCTGCCTCTGCCTCCCTGGCGTCTGCCTCGTCTGCAGCAAGCTCCTCCCCCATGCGCTTCATCTCCTCTTCTGCCTTCTGCTCCATCTGGCGAATCTCCTCGTCACTGATCTCCTGCGGCTGCGACTCCAGCTGCCGGCCTCCTGACTTCCGCCGCCGCTCGTACTCCTCCGCCTCTGCCTGCCCATGCCCACCTTCTGGGAGGCCACAGCTGCCAGCACTGCCGCCCGCATTCGGCAAGTGAGGGGCGATGGCGCCCCCCACGATCTGCTCGAGCGACTCTGCCAGCTCCCCACCCAGGCAGGCTGGCACGTAGCGGGCGCCGAGCTGCGTTCCGCCCAGCCCCTCAGCTGGCGGATCGGCCGACTCCTCCTCACCAGCTCCCGCCGTCGGGGGGGCGGCGGCGGCGATGTCATCGTCGACGGGTGCCCCCCCCGAAGACGCAGGTGCGCCATTGTGCCCGTCCTTGAAGCAGCCACCCTGCAAGGTCGACAAGGGCGCCTCGGAATCGCTGTCGTGGACACTGTTGAGGCTCTGCTCGTCGCGGGCGGTATCCGCGGCCTCCTGGAGATGTTATTTACTGCAGGTTGCTCCTCCCCCTCCTCCTCTCCCTCCTCCTCTCCCTCCTCCTCTCCCTCCTCCTCTCCCTCCTCCTCTCCCGCCTCCTTCACCTCCTCCGCTCTACTCCCTGTCTTCCACTCTCCTCCTCATCCTCCGTTTTCGTGTTCATGTTGGTTTCGTATTCCCGTATCGGCGTTCCCCTCTCACCTTTTTTATTTATACCCACCCCCATCGTCATCATCCTATCTGCCATCATCCTCGTCATCCTTCTTCTTGCCATCGTAGATTCTTTTCATATCCTTAATCCCCGTGTCCTTAGATAACGCTGCAGACTCGTGAAGCGCACCGTTCGACATCAGCGCAGAAGGGAACGGGACGGGAGTGATCCAAGAGCGGATGTCGTGAAAGTTGCCGAGGGGCTGCGCTGTGCCGATAAGTGGTTTGACCAAACGTGGCTTCGGCATGGCTAACATGGATCAGTAGATCCGTGTTAACCATGGAACACATGTTGATTGGGGCCCGCTGCCGACCCCCTTTCCCCCTGGGCGAGGGTTGCAGAGGAGCTCGAGGAGGAGGACGTGGAGGGGGAGGAGGAGGAGGACCAGTAGGAAACTGATGGGGGACGTTGAGTCAGGGGAGGGTGGGGACAAGGAGGAGAAGAGTGCCATGTGGAGCATGAGCATCACGAGGATTATGACGGAGAGAGTGTTATGTCTTGTTGACAGACAAGCAGTGCACGCTCAATGTCGTTGCAAAGGGCACATCGGTGCGGCGCGAGCGAGCGCGCACCTCGATGAGCAGGTCCACGCAGCTGAAAAACAACACGCGCGGGCTCAGCGAGTCAGGGAAGGTGCCCGCGAAGATGTCCTACCCTTCCCATCGCAGCTGCGCGTCGCTCAGTCGACTCGCTCTGTCGGAAAAAGGGGGGGGGGGATGAAGAATCGGAGGGCGATGAGCAGAAGGAGGGATTGATGAAGGGAGGGGGAGGGGGGGGGGAGGAAGAAGACGAGGAAGAGAAGGATGGGGCGAGGGGGGATAACGTGGTGGCATGCCCCTGCCCCTGCCCGTCCTCGTGGCGTGCACCTAGAAGAAACCATCGCCCACGAAGAAGTTCAACTGCTGGGGCTGCTGGGGCTGCTGGGGCGGCGGCTGCCGCGGTGCGGGCGGTGGCTGTTCCAGCTTCTTGGGCTTGGCGAGGCTCTTCGCCTTCGGGGAAGCGTTCGGCACGGATGCATCTGAACTCGAGCCCGCGGTCGTCTTCTTGGTCTCGGGAGCGGGCCGCTTACCCTTGCCAGCGGGCTTCTTGGCTACCGTCTGCTCATTGTCATCCTCATCGACCTTGCTATTCTCCGAAGGGCTCAGCGACGCTCCAGCATCGGCGTTGTCCGTATCATCGCCATCGGGCTCTGCATCATCACCAGCTTCTTCATCAGGAGGCTCTTCCTCAGCAGGTCGTGTGTCCGAGTCATCATCGTTTATCTTCTTCGCTGGCTTTTTGGAGGGGGTTGTAGTGGCTGCTGCAGCTGGGCGTTTCCTCGCCTGCGAGCTCTCGGCCGAAGGGCGATCCTTTAGCCAAGCATGCTTCATCTCGTCGCACTGCTCCTTGGTCTTCTTCCCCGCAGCGTAGAGGCGCGCCATCTCCTTGAACAACTTGTCCGCCTCCTCAGACTTGAGGTGCGGCTTCATAGTCATGTTGCATATCATCGTCTGCGACTTGTTGTCGGGCTTCTCCCAGATAGCGTAGTTGATGACCTGCAATCGGCTGCACGGAACTGCCCACACCTTATTGCCAGTATTAGCGTGCTTGCCCTCCCACAAGATCTCGTGCCTGAGCTGGCCAACCCCCGTCTGCTGCATAGTCTTGAACTCCTTCACGGTGAGCCCCGCCACCTCCCACACAGTGCCGTCCGAGAAGGTGGCTGTCATGAAGGTCTCGTCGTCCGCGCCGTCGATGACCGTGAGCGGCAACGCCCACTGGATGATCGGCTTCATCTTCTTGGTCTTGACCACCTGCTTGCGGAACACCGCCTCCCCATACCCACTTGGCGGGTCGCGATCTTGCGCAGTAGCCATGTAACTATGTCCATGTCACTCGCACACACACGCACACGGGATTCCGGCTCCGCCCGAGTCACAATTCAAATCCATGCAGCATCAGACAAACTACCCGCCAGCATACTTTCAGACTACTTGCAGACTACTTTCAGACTACGTCCAGACTACTTTCAGACTACTTTCAGACTACTTTCAGACTACTTTCAGACTACTTTCAGACTACGTTCAGACTACTTTCAGACTACTTTCAGACTACTTTCAGACTACTTTCAGACGCTTCTCAGACAGCGGCACGTTTATCACGCCCTGTCCACTGCCGATGGCACATCATGCTTCCCAGCTGTCCGCCCCGTCGTTTTTTCAATCAACCCGTCTCTCCCGCCCCTCCCACGCCCTCTCCTTCCCAGCGTATTCATTGTCATTCCCTCCAACTTCTTGTCCTAACACTCATCAGGATCATGTTGCTGCTACTGCTGCTGCTGCTGCTGGTCATCCTCATCATCCCCGTACTCTTCGTACCACCGCCTGCACCCCGCAAGCACCATCCCCGCCTTCTCGTGACGATCGAACTCGTAGATCCAGTCGTCGGCGATCTGCTTGTCCTGCCCCCAACCCGCGCGGGCCGTGTCCCATGTCATCTCCCATCTTCGTGCTCAAACGTGATCCCATCATCCTCCCGCTTGCCCTTAGTCGTCAATCATAGTCGCAACCATCGTATGTAGTCGACATCGCCAATCGCCGTCGCAATCCCTCCCCCCGTCCTTGTTCGGGTTGTAATACGGCTTCAACCACGCTGGAGGAGGCCGACCGTCGGTCCTGCGAGCGCGGGTGGGTGAGTACAACAACGGATCGCAGAGGGAAGGAGAGGAGGGGGATCAGGAGGAACCAGTAAGGATGACAGATGGAGTCATGTGAGGGACGAAGCGCTGTTTACATTGGGGCTCAAACATATCTTACTCAATCCTCCATCCTCCATCCGTCTCTCCACTCTCCCGATACCCTATCAACCCTATGTCCCTCGCACAGCTGTGCCCTCTGAGCGACATCTCTGCGCGCTTACCCCGACGCGGGTCCTGCACTTCACGATACCTTGTGATACGTGCCGCAAGCATGCTCGAAGCCGATGGCCCGCGAATCGCGGGCAGGCGTATGTTGACCGCCCGTCTCTTCCTCTTCGTCGTAGTCCTTCTCCTCCTCCCCCACCTCGTAATCTGTTTCCTCCCCCTTCTACTCCTGCCTCCTCCATTCCGTCCTCCACCCCTTCCCCCGTACGTCCCCATCCACATACCAGTTGTCACCCATGCCACACTTGTCATCCTATGTCTGTCGGGCCCATGGCGAAACCTGTCTGATCATATACGATGTCTCTCTCGCCCAGCTGTCGATCTCGTCCCCTAATTCCCAGTCTCCGTCTTTTTTGCGGGCCATCGCTGTCAGCGGCTTGATGAGGCCACCAACCGTGATCTGCTCGTCAGGGTGGATCGCCTGCTGCGGCCCTCCCTGCTACCTCACCATCTCCCCACCCTCCACATCATGGTCAATATCATACTCCTCCTCTTTCCTCCCCCTTCCAACCTCCAAATCCTGCTTGTCCCTTCACTCTGACAATTCCCCCGTCGCCTCGCGCACGGACTTGATCACATCCTTGAGATGCTTGAGTTTCTCGCCGTCGGGCCTGTCCTCTAAGTCAGTCGTGCACTCGATCGTCCATGGCTGCTCGATCGTTTTCTTGAAAATCTGTTCTAACGTCGCCTCCAAGCCAGAGCCATCGCACACGGCCTGTTTGCCTTTGCTCATCATATGAGCATAAAAAACATCTCTCGGGCCCGAACTCAGACGGTGGGCGCGGCAGCGGGTGACGAGGTGAAAGAAGACGAGGAAACGAGGAGGAGGAGGAGGAGATAATGAGTTTTTTTGTATATGTTATCTTGCTATTTTAGCGAGTTAGGTCATTTAGTTTGGCACAACCTAATTCACATACTTGGATAGATCCGGAAAACTACCTGGATAGAACCGGCTCGAGAGGGGTCTATCCTGTTAGAACCGGAAATTAAGGATCTAACCGATAGAACCGTGGAACCTGTGGGATGTTGGCTTGCCACAGGGATGCCCGGCGTGCTAGATCCTTTCGATGTTGGTTTGGCTTCTTTTCCCAAAGAACTCCCCCTGGGGCTTCGGCCGATCCCGCCGGGGTCCCGGAAAAGCCTCGCAACCACCTCAACGACCGCAACAAATTCTCCAAGACGGCTCAAGATGGCCTCTAAGATGGTCACGTTGGCCCGAGATGACCTCCAAGATGGCCCAAGATGGCGTCCAAGTCGCCTAAGCTGGTTCAAGATGGCTTCCAAGACGGCCCGAGGGAGTCCAGGATGCCTTCAAGTTCGTCCAAGAGGCCTCCAAGACGGCCCAAGATGGCTCCAAGATGGCCTACGACTGGCCAAGACGCCCCCAAGAGGCCTCCAAGACGTCCT